GGATGTTTCACTTTAGTAATTCTTTTTATTCCGTTGAACTGGTACTACTGTTAAGTACTTTTAAATTTAGACGGTTTGTCGGCACTGTTAATGCAAGTTTAACGACTCCTTCTAAAAAAATATCTTTTGAAAGCTTTTGTATGATGAACGAGCTTCTATAAAAGTTTATTAATGCCACCACGTTAATTAAGAAAACTGTGACGAATGTGATTACGAAATCATTAAAGCAAATCGCAAATTTGAAAGCATTTACTGCTAGAAATCTTACGCATGATTCAATAGAAGTAATTTAATAAATAGTAATAATAAATTGAAAAACATACAACAAATCTATTAGGTACAGATGTGAATTGTGATTTGAACTTATCTTTATGAAACAAGATCAGTGTTCAAACTGAAAGTGTTTTACCAACTTGTTTTAACGTCAAGTGTTTTCTTTATTCTTTTAAAACTATGAGAAATGAAATTTTTTTGAAGCAGATAGAGCAAAAGAAACGATTCATTGTTTTTATTTAAATTACTTAATAATAAAAAACTACTAAAGTTAGTGGATTGGATCCGATGCGAATCAAAATTGCCTGAAGATTGATTAGAAATAAATCAGGCTTTCTGATCCGGGTATGATGGAAAATCGTCACGCCATATATGATCAACATAGGATCCATTTGAAAAATCCATGTCGGATCTGTTTGTTTGCATACAGAATAAATCAGGTAAAAAATAAAGTTCTGTATTATGATCCAGTTCAGAACATCGGATACAATCTTGATTTAAAGATTGTAGCGAAACCGTAATAGAATTTGTAGCATTAGATTGTGATAAGAAATTGGTCAGATGACTGGATTAAAGGATAGGATACTGGATACTCCACTATGATCAATTTGTGATCAGATGGTTGGATCAACAGATAGAGTACTGTGCGCTGATCAATTTCTGATCGGATGACCAGATCAAGGTATGGAGTACTGTACTCTGATCAGAAACTGATCATATCGGTGGATCAACGGATAGAGTACTATACTCTGATCAGAAACTGATCAGATGCCCGTATTACGGAAAATCTGATCCACATCTGATCATAATCCGGGTTCTCTGAACTAACTTCCAGTCGGGAGGTCAAGTACCATGATTAATTGTGGTCCCAAGTGGCTCAATTAATGACAAAATGGGCCGTTTGAGTTTTGGTAGCATACAGATAATTATTTAAGGTAAAAAAGTCAATTATTTCATTTTATTTACCTACATGTATTTCAAGATTTTGAGTTTAATCTATACATAGTTCCGCTACTGACTGTAGCACGTTTCCGGAATTCATTATTGAGGAAATGAAATCCTGTTGTTTAACTCAAAGCGCTTCATCTTTGATCAGCACCTTCGTTAAGGATTACAGACGTTTTATCACCTGACCTGATTCGAAATATATCCGCTCTCCTTACTTTAACTGATAAAGAATATTAAATACCACCGTCGCGTTTGAAAGGCGAAGTAACGGCATCTACGTATTTCACCAGACTTTAAAAACGCTGCATAACTTCCTGCTGCTATTTGAAGTAGCTTCACAATTAAAAAAGGAAATATTTAAGTAATTGTTATTAAAATTAAAATTTTAGTATGGAGTATCATTCATATTGTATTTTACAAGGTAATAACTTTGTCAAAGCTATTAACAAAAAATATTGTGAAAAGGCAAACGTATATCATCAGTCTAGAGCAGTCAGGGATGATTTTTATTGATAAAAACCAAAGAAATTTCTCGTTTCAACTGAAAAACCTACTGAGATGAGCAGATAAGCAATGATAGTTCTAGCGCAAAATCGCATATACTTTCTTGTAAGGGTTCATTTTCATCCTTTTTCTACCGTTTTACCCCCTCCACGCCTACTCTGCTGTCACGGCTGTCACCCATCTTTGACAGCTGTCATCGTCGGCCATCTTTGAGTGGAGGAGGCAAAATGGTGGAAAAAGAACCAAAATGAACTTTGATAAGAAAATAAATAAAAAAATAATACTTTGCGCTACAATTGTCATTGCTTATTTACTGGGATAATCCCTATCTTGATAAAACTTCATAATATAATTTGTTTTTTACGTTTTTGCACTGCCGTGCCACTTCTTTTGTTCGAAATAAAACTCGAACTGTATTTTTATGTTTATTAATAAATAACTTCACTAAAACTAGTTAATAATTAAAATTAATAATAATGATACTGCTTATGTTTATGTCGATCAAATATTTGTGATTTGTTATGTGATTTGATGATAAATTGATTACGTTGACAGATTGTTATGACTGTTCTTAGTGCAATGTTATCTTCCATATTTAAAGTTTCTCGTTTCCCTACTACTATTTTCACTCCAAGGGGGTGGTAACGGTACCTGCTTGGGTTCCACAGAAGTAACATTTCAAGGCTATTTGTTAATGTTTGAAT